GGTTGCTTTCCGTTTTAAGAGATACCTACTACCCTTCCATTGTCCTCACCTAAACTTTGTTGGATATAGAAATTCTTCTCGCAGAGCATGGGGACTCTAGTTAATACTGTATTGTATATTCGAAAGTTGCAAAGAGAGATCTGAAAAGTTCTCATCACAGAAAAAATGTTGTAGCTATGCGGTGACACATGTTAACTAGACTTACTGTGATTATGTCGATATACACGTGTACTGAATCATGTTGCACGTGTGTACCTGAAACTAATATAATGTTACTTGTCAATTACGTCTCAAATTAAAAAAAATTCTCTTCCTCCACTTGATCACAACTTGCCTCATTCTCAAGTTTGTCTGCTCAGTGTCAGGCTTTTTGGAAGGAGTGTCTGGTAGCTACACGCAGTATGCGAGGGATTGAGGTGCAAATGGGCAGTTAGAGAGGAGTCACAGGGGTGTAAAGGGACCGCAGGGGAAATGTAGGGGATAATGCTGTGGTAACTGTGTGTGGCGCTGGGGGGTGCTGGAAATACCCTGGGGATCCCTTGGTGAAGTACATGACTTTCTGAACACTACGCTGTACCTCTGAAAGTAACACAAAATTATACTGGGGTGGTGGGAGCACAAGCTGACTTGGTTTGCTGTCACCCAGCAAGGGGACTCAGATCAGGAACAGACAGTCCCTGTGCATATGCATTTTTAAGGTCCCTGTGAATATGCATTTTAACTGTGCGTTGACTGGAATGACAGAGGAGACAGGACACGGGGAAGCTGCTGACCCACGTGAATCTGAGCCTCCAGAACCCTCACTCTTTCTCTCTTCTCCACCCTGTACTCCGTGTAAGGAGGGGATGATTTTTTTTTTTTTGGAAAAGCAACTTGAGTGTCCAGAGCTCTGCTGGGCATGCTTTATGGGAGCCGGCGTGACCTACACAATTACTGTGGTTGGCAGCACCAGTCACTGAGCAGCGGTTTCCAAAGCACTTTCAAAAGTTCTTCTGTCAGAAAATGTTTCTAATCAAAGGGCTACCACATTATATCCATCCATTTTATCTTTTTCCATGACTTGAAATGCTGCAAGAATGACAGAAATGCAGTTTATGTACAAAGCAGTGGTTTGCGCTGATGCCCTGGTTTCTGCGTTTCCTGCTTTCCAGGGGGGACAGCTTCGTTTAAGTGTGCAATGGCCTCAGTGAGAGGAACAGCTGAATCACTCGGAGTGACTAGGGAAGGCTCCCAGACGCCTGGCTCCGGCGATAATTACAAAACGCACGTCCATCTGCCGCTCTGGCACAGACGGGGTGGGCGGGAGGGGTGGAAGCTCAAAGCCACAGGGCCCAGGAGGGATGGAGGGATGAGAGCTCAGAGTAGACTGTGGCCACTGTCAAGTGTGTTGTGCCCTCTGACAGTGCCACATGGCTGAGACTGCGGAGCGAGGAAGGGCCTTCTGTTTTCATGGCGGTTGCCAGGTCCCCTCTGAGGCTGGCTTTGGCTTCTTTCATTCTTAGAAATCTCTCGAAAGTCAGGTGGCTGCATGTTATATAAAGTCAGGTTTCCAAGGTCACTGGCAATGTTTGTTCTCTTCTCTGTTGGTTCTTTGATCTCTCTCTCTCTCTCTCTCTCTCACACACACACACACACACACACACACACACGCACGCACGCACGCACGCCCGCGCGCCCGAGAACAAGCATCTTAGGCTCTGCTCTTCCCCAAATGCTTCTCATCTTCCCTAACTTCCCCAGGTTTTTCTTTTTAGCTTTTCTTTGCCAGGAATGCCCACTTCCTCACTTGTGTCTCTGTGAGGTCTGCATGTGTGCCATGCCCTCGACTCCCAGACCTCCTCCAAACTGCCTTCATTTTGTTAATTCAGGTCGTAACTCAGATGCAAGTTCTTCAAAGGGGCAGCCCTTCTCTGACCAAATGAGGGTCCCTAACCCAAGTCTGAGTGATCTATTTTGGAAATAAATGAGAAGTGTTGTTACTTATATAAAGTGTTCTTGAGTAATAGGAACGAAAAGCCATCAATCAGTATTTTTGATGAGACATCCTTGAATTTTCTTTGTGAATCATCAGTAATCAATAAAATCTTTCTGTTGTAGGTGGTATTGTCAAGTTTCTATCTGGGTAATAAATATCTATCTTGATATTTTTTAACTTAGTTGAGCACCTCATTATGCAAATTTAATGAACAGTTTACATATGCACAAGACTATATTAAGTTATAGATATATAAATTATGTTAATATAAATTTTAAAATGAGGCTTTCATTAAGGTTAACATATCGTAAAATGAGTGATTAACTTTTTAATCCCTGAGGTTTATACACATCATAATTAATGTTTTGAGGAAATTTGATTTAAATTACCAAATTACTCTTGTCTTAAAGAGTAAAGTTCTGTAGTTTAGGTTATATTATTCCTTGTATGATTTTAGTCTTTATTTTTATAATGATCTTTATGAAAAATATTATTAAAATAGTGCAGAAAAAATCACTAGACTTACTACTAAGAAAAATGACAGGGTTTGTAATTTTGACTTTCGCTTTAAAAAAAGACAGAGGAGAGAAGTCTGCACTCAAATGCTGGACCTTCTCACGGCATTCAGCAGCGTAACAGATTCCACAACCTACGAAATTGAAATTGTATGGTCAGCAGAGTACATACTGTTTAAATCACGTATTGTGTGGTAAAGGGGCAATAGGAAATGTATTTAACTTTTCAAAATGGAAACTGACTAAAAGTGGGAAAATTTTATCCTAGAAAACTCTTTAAGTTATATAATGTTCAGAGACATAAAATAGGGGCTCCTTTTATTCACACAGATTTCATTCTGTCCAAGTTCAAAAATAGAGGTGATTAAAATGATTTGTCCTTTGACTCACTTCTGGATTGCTCTCCAAAGGGAATAATCCAAACTGTAGGCAAAGACTAATGCACAAAGATGTTAATTGTGGCATTGTTTATGATTTCAAAAAGCTAGGAACCAACCAAATATCCATTGATGGGGTAAGTAAGCAGGTTGTAGAAAATTCATACAATAAAGGGTTGTATAACCATTAAAATTAATTTTTAGAAAGACAATTTAATATTGTCAGGAAAAGCTTTGGCAGGATGCTAAGTGGGAAAAAAGGATGGTATGATCTTAGTTAAGTAAAAGACATTTTCCATAGAAGAAAATATGTTAATAGTGGTTGTATCTGAGGAGTAATTGTTGCTGGTTCGTGTTTTCCCAGTTTTCTGGGGAAAATTCTTGTTATCTTTATAATAGAAAAGCATTTTTTAAAAAAGGAAATAGAGGTATCTAATAAAACATGAAATATCCAGGCTCGTGTGTCTCGAGATTAGTTGTGTCTCATCGGGGCAGGAGCTTGGGACCAGGAGGTTGTCTGAGGGCCATTTGGCAGAGTCCGTCCGTGATGGGGAGGAGAGTCCTGAGTGTTTTTGCTCAGTCCTGCCACTCCCCAGCTGTCACTTGCTGACCAGAACGTCTGACTGGCTGTCAGCTTCCTCTTTGACAAATACTAAACAGGAAGATGAAGTAATTATTATCTAAGAAATGTGACTTATTTGGTAGCCAAATATGTTTGTGTGTGTGTGAGCACAAATGATGGGTTTTATTTCATTGCAAGTGATGCAACCTATGGGCACATTTTTTTTCTTTTCCAAGTTCTTTAACTGCTGAAATTGCCCTTAAAGAGATCACAAACATTGTAAAATGTGTTTCGTCACTAATTTATTAAGTTTTCCTGTCAGTTGATATCATATATTTTAAAACATATGATGATATAAACCGAAAGCTGTTCTAGATTGTTCTTCAGTCTTTGTTTGAATCACAGAATTGTTTTAGTGGTCTCCCCCAGCATTACCTTGTAAGTGAAATTAGAACACATAGAAAATATAGAGCACATCACATACAGTAAGTATTCTTAAAATTTTTACTTTAGGTGTGTTTTTAATGTACTGGATTGTAAATGTTAAATGTGGTATTTTTTTTTAAATTATGATTTGCGGTAAAAAAAAAAAAAGCCAGACTCTTATTGTGGTCTAGACCAGTGGCTCTCAGTAAGATCCCAGGACCAGCACCAGGCATCACCTGGGAGCTTGTGAGGAATGCCGACTCTCAGGCCCCCCAGACCCGCTGAATCGGACACTCTGGGGGTGGGCCCCGCCTTCTGGGCTCTCATAGGCCCCCTGGTGATCCTGGGGCATGCTCCAATTCAAGAAGCACTGGTCTAGCCTTGCTGCCCAGGTGCGGTGCGGAGACTAACAGTTGCAGCGCCTGGCAGCTGGCTGGAAAAGCAGAATCTGAAGTCCCATCTGAGACCTAGTAAATCAGAACTGACAGGTGTCCCAGGTGATGTGTATGCTCGTATTGAAGGTTTATTAAAGGTTTAGAAGCTTTGATCTAAACTACATATGCCTGCAGGGACCAAGTAGGCAATGCCAGTGAATGCAGGTAGCTGGTTTTCTTCCTCAAGACTACAAACTGTCCCTGAGTCACGAAGGTCCGACTTACGATTTTTTACTTTATGGTGCGAAAGTGATTGTTAGTAGAGACTGTACTTCGAATTTTGATGTTCTCCTGCCTAGCGATATGCAGAACCACACCTCTCGCGACGCCAGGCAGCGGCTGCGAGATGACTTTGCCCAGCTGTAGCTAATGTAAGTGTTCTGAGCACATGTAAGGTGGGCCAGGCTAAGCTACGACCTTCTTTCTGTAGGTTAGGTGTATTCAGTGCATTTTGACCCACAACATTTTCCACATAAACCCATCATATGTCAAACAGCTTCTGTGTAGCAGTTAGAAGGAACAGTGGTGTAAAATTTAAGCACTCTTCGTTTGTTTAGAAATTGCCTGTATTGTACCAGTTGGGGTTCATATATCCCTACAAACTCACCAACTAAGGTTAACTTCACTTGCCATCAATTACTTGAGGCAGACTTTAAACCCCAATTTTGATAGAGCGACCCCTTCATGTTAACTTCTTCTGATCTCTTTTAGGAATTTATCAAGGAGCTGCTCTCTCGGATAAGAGGCATGAGGAAACTGAGTCCCCCACAGAAGAAGTCTGTTTAATTCTGGCACAGGGTGGATCTTGCCTGGAGACCAAGGCAGGGTCCTGGGATTTGAACTTCAAGAGGACTTTTGTTAAAGCAAAATTGTCCTTATGAGAAACTTTTATTTTGCGGGGGGAGGGATGCATATCTATTAGACACTTATTCAAGAGCGTTCCTTTTTTGTTTTTAAAGGTTTTATCAGCATACTATTTTATTAGTAAAGATATCACGACTCTGGTTTCAGCCCAATGAGGGATTATCAAACCAGGCAGGCATCCAAGAATGGACTGGGCCAGGCAGTATTTTCTTCGAGAAATCTGATGTTTAGGACCTAACTATACAGGGATGATGGTTTTTTTTTTTTTTTACAACTAGTTTCATAATCCTTTTATCTTAAGTTGTACATTTGACTCAGATGTCAAATTTCTCATACTTGTATATATATTAATATATATCTACACACAACAGAGTCCCAATGTAGATGTGAGTTTTATTTCACATTGATGAAATAACCTTGTGGTTGTCCTTTAACTAGAGGTCACAGCACATGTATTTTCAAGAGGCCACTAGATAGTCTTCATGTGAGTGCTGTTGACCTCCAACATCCACTTTATGCACCAAAGTGAAAGAATTCAGCGTATCCGTTATTTGAATGAATTACACTACAGAAATGTTGAGTTGGTCAAGGGCTTAATTTATGGACTTTATATTATTTTATTAATTGGGATGCTTTGCCAGGTCTTGTGCTTATTGCCTCGTTTGTGGTATTTTCAAGTTTTACGAACCCTTCACTTGAAGAACGACTGGGATTTCTAGAGAAGGGCCCATGCCATCTGAGCAGTGTTTTGCAGAGGAAAATGGAAGCGCTGTGTAGCAACTCATTCTCTGCTTTCAACAAAGTACTGTGTATTGATCTCTCTCCATGAAAGCAGGTCCTAAGGAAGTCAGCAGATTATGCATCTTCCTTCTTAGAGGTAGGTTCTGGTCACTTCTGTGCCTGGGCAGCACCTGACCCGAGGAGGTGAACCGAGTGGAGAGCAGGTGGAGAGGTGGGAAAGCTTCACCTTCTCTCAGGAGAGTTGATAGCGGTGCGCATGCTGGTTGGGAAACGTGGTGGAGGTTGCATTTCCGGTTTCCCTCAGCAGCATATGGTGAGGACTGGCTCCTGGCCCTAATTTTGCACCTCGAGCCTCTTGCTTGGAGCTAGCCTGGGGTGCCTGCCCTACCCCTCTCAGTCATACACCAGCTCCTTGAGGGAGGCTCAACCTTCAGACGGACGTGGGTGGGGTGAAAGGTCAGAGCAGAAACTCTTCCTTCCCTCCAGGAGGCCCTGCTGCCTCCCCACGGAAACCCCTCCTGCAGTGAGACGTGTCTAGGAGGCCCTGTGAGAGCACAAGGGTCAGGCATTGTCTATCAAGGGTGCTCTGAACATATTTTATTTTTTAAAAGAACTATGTTTGTGGATTTTATGTATACTGGCAAGCTTTTGAAAATGTATTTAATTTTGTAATGTTTACCAATGATTTCTCTACAAGCTATTTACTCAAATAAATGGAGCTGCTTACAACTCTGCTCACATGTTTGCCTTGCAAAATACATTCATGTGCTGATTTTACTTGATCAGGCGCTTTGCAGGGGAGGGTCCCACGCTGCTCTGTGTAGCTTTGCCTTTTCAGGCATTGGGTCCTGGCCCTCCCCTGATGAAAGCAAACGAGCTGGAACACACCCCTGAGCCGAGAAGGAGACAGAAGATGAGCTCTGTGCGCGTGGTCCCGCCCCCCCCCCCCCCGTCTATTCCAGCCCTCCCCTGGGCCGTGCCCCTTTCCTTTAATTAACACCCCCCCCTTACCCATCTGATATAAATCCTCAAGATTTCAGAATTAATCAGGTATTTCAATTAATATTAGATGCCCTGTACCCTGTAAGTGCAGAAAAACTGAAGATTTGCAGGTTTTTCTTTAGGCTTGACCAAGTTATGACCCTCAGATGAAGCCTGAGCAAGCTTTTCCTCCTAATGCCTCTGATTCTACCACGTAACACACTCCCTGTCTTCCCCGCTTCCTTCGCTCAGGGCCTGGCATCACCCCATTTCCCCTGAGAGCTCAAGCCGCAAGCTTGGACCACCTCTCTGATCCCCCATCTCCGCCCCCAACACACTCTCAGTCACCATGCTCTTTTCTGCCAATGCCTCTCAGGTGTGCCCCTTGTTAATTCTTGCCTCCATGGCTGTCGCCGTCATGGGCTTGGTTTCTCTGTGTCCAGTCTTGCCTCTCTCTGATCTAAACTGAACCCAGTAGCCAGAATCATCTTTCTGAAAGACCACTCTGATCATTCTACCTCCCTGCAAAAAACCCCAAATGTCTCTACATTTCTTACAAGGAATTGGTCTCTGTCTCTGTAACCTCACCTTTTGGCCTTGCACTAATGGCCTGTCATACTGATTTCTTTGGGATGTCTAGAATGTTCTATGTATTTTCTCCTCTGGGGCTCTGCAGAAACTGTTGACTCAGTTTGGAGCATCCTCTCCACCAACAGGCTGTATCTGAAGACCTTCTGGTGGTGACCCCTCATGGCACGTATCCCCAGTATTATTACTGTCTTTTCTCTTTAGTCTCTTCTATTAAACTCTAAAATCCTTGAGGTTGGGACTGGGTCTTACAAATTAAGCATCTACTCTTGTGCTTGGCCCATCAAAGGGATCAATCTGTTTTTGCCAATAGAATAAATAAAAGATCCTTCAGGAAAACTCAGCTGTGTCCTTCCCAGCTAGGGTAAGGGTTCTTAGACCTGAACGGACTTGTGTTTCACATGGAAAGCTTTAAAAGCAACCAAAGCCTAGACCCTTGTCCTGACCAGTTGAACCAGAAGCTGTAGGAGCAGATTTGAGGTGTACGTCTTTACAAGCTCCCAGATCGAGCACCATTGGGCTGCTGGGTCATTCTTGTGTTGCCGGATGCACGAGCTTGACCTTAGCTCACTGTGTTGATGCTGTTACAGCGGGTGGCAGCCTTGACATCAGCACGTTGACTGTCTCTCATCTTATTTTCTATGGGAGAGGAGTGAAGGTGCAGACCTGGGGGATGACTCCCGCGTCCCCAGCTTCCAGTCTGGCCTCCCTTGAACACTGAATGATCTAGGTTTAAACTTTATGGACTGGTGTCTGTTTACCACAATCATAATGGTTCCCATCTATTTTCACTGCACTAAGGGCTTACGTACCTTGTCTCATTTAATCTCAATGTTCATATTATGAAATAAATCACATGATCCTCATATTGCAGGTGAGGAAATAAACTCAGAAAGGTTGAGCAGCTTACCTGAGGTCATACAGTTACAGAGCTGAGGTTCAAAGCCAGTCTCGTTGGCCTCCATGCCCCTTTACCACTAGGTTTTCCTGCCTGTTACAGTGGGTGGCTTTCATCCCCACCCACATGAGTGAAAGCCAGGGGCTGCATGTGTGGGAGTCGGCCCCCAAGACTATGGGTGGGGGTTGGGGTGCTCTGTGATTGGAGAGGGTCCTTGGCCACCTGCCGGTTCTTCCTCATCCCTGAGACATGAGGGGCTCCCTGTCCCTGAGCTGTGTGCGGCTGCCCCTCTGTTTCTAGCCTCTCCTTCCTCGTCCCCTAACACAAAGCTCCTGGACTTGGCCTTAGCTGCTGAGCTTGGAGTACCCTTTCATCAGTTACCTGAAAAGGCAAACTCGGGAGAAAGAGCGATTCGGGGTAAGCTGGTTTGCAATTCCTGTAACACACAGGCATCTGATTTTCATTTACCACGTAGAGTGCCCATGGAAGACTGTGCAGACTCAGCTTCTCAACAATAGGTGAGTATGTGATTCTACCTGGCTCTTCCCAAGAAGACGCAGTGGTTGGGAACATGAGGCCTTTTTGAGCCATGACTACCACTTCCCCAAGGCATACTGACGGAAGGGGCCACGACCAAGACAGAGCCAGTCTGGCCCAGGCACCAGGCCCACCACCTGGAGAAGCAGATGGGAGAGAGCAGGTGGGAGATGAAGGACCCTTTTGCCTTTCATGTGCAGGAGAGGCTGTAGGTGGGAGCCGAACACCTGCCTTATGGCCTAGCTCTGCAGCGGGCCCTGCCCCACACTCAGCCTGCTAGGATTGAGTGTGTTGATCTTTATGCATCTTAGTTTTTAACAAAAGGAATTTTAAAAGTGAAAAATAAAATTAAAAATTTCTAAAACAGCCCTGCCGGTGTGGCTTGGTGGACTGAGTGCCGGCCTATGACCCGAGGGTTCGCCTGCTCGATTTCCAGCCAGGGCGCGTGCCTGGGTTGTGGGCCGAGTCCCTGGTCTGGGGGGTGTGAGAGGCTACTGATCAATGTATCCTTCACACATCGATATTTTTCTCTCTCTCTCTTTCACCCTCCCTTCCCCTCTCTTAAAAAAGAAAAAATTCTAAAATAGACAAAACTTATACGATAAGGATAGAAAGAAAGAAAATATATATAGACAGCTGTACCATGTGTTTGTGTTTCAGGCTAAGTGTTATTACAAAAGAATCAAAAAGTTAAAACAAATAAAAGGTTTATAAAGTAAAAATGCTATAGTAAACTAAGGCTAATTTATTATTTAAGAAATAAAAAATATTACTTGAGGGCTGCCTAAGGACACAGTACTTAAAAAGTGTCCGGTAGCGTTCAGGGACGCCCTGGGCCTTCACATGCACTCAGCACGCACTCACTGACTCACCCAGAGCAGCTTCCAGTCCTGCAAGTTCCATCCATGGTAAGTGCCCTCTTTATACAAGCATAAGGTTTTTATCTTTGTACCATGTTTTTACTGCCCCTTGTCTACGTTTAGATACACAAATATTTACCACTGCATTCCAGTTGCCTACAGTATTTGCTGCAATAACATGCTGTACGGATTTGTAGCCTAGGAGCAGCCGGCTATACATACAGACTAGGTGTGCAGTAGGTTGTACCATGTAGGTTTGTGTAATGATGTTCATACAATGACATAGTCACCTAGGGACACATTTCTCAGAACATATCCTCACCTTGGTCTCTTTCAGTGTGATTTGTATCATTCTTACAGCTAGTAGGTAAGTTCTTATGTTTAGATCTTAATCTGACTAATCGTTTTCAACTGTATAGGGTCAGAAGTTTCCTTTAAAGTGATTCACACCTCTAAATGATTGCTCTGTGGGCTGAACTTACTTTCACAAAAGCCACTTTCTTTCTTTCTCTTCCCAAGAACAGAAATACTGCCTGTTGGTGATCGAGGAAAATGGTGTATGAAGAGACACATCCAATTCATAGAAAAATGCCGCCTGAGAGTGAGGTGGAGAAGACAAGCGCATGGCAATTCTTACCACACATCTTTCTCTTTAAAATATGTGCCTAGATAATATGAGCAGCACATTATTGCTTCCTGTTGAAAAGTTTCTAAAGCGAACTCCAAACGCAGTTTTGAAGCGAATTTATTTACAGTATTACAGTCCACCCAGTGGAAGCTGAAACCAAAAATAGAAAATGAGCTCACAGAGTATCTGGTGTTACCAGACTGGTTCTTGTCAGGTCAAAAAGTGATCTGTCTATATAAAGTGTGTTGCAGCACACCCTTCTGGGCCACAAGTTGCTTGTGAGTGATTGATTTACTGTCTGGTTTTTCCACTGTTAGCGACAGGTGCTGATTAGATTTATAAAAGGTAGACTCAAACCCCCTCTCTTATAGCTCATGGAAAGGCGATAAATAAGATCAGTTATCTTTTAAAAAAATATTTGATAGCACTTGGCACAGCACCTCACTTTTCAGCTGTAATCCCAGCGCGGGGAACCAATATCGTGGTCGATCGTGTAGGCTGGTATCGCGCTCACAGGACACCCCCAGAGCCTTCGAGGAGCCCATCTTTCTGAAATTGGTGAGGATTCAAACAAAACTTCTCCAAATGTTAGAAAAACATAGCATAGTGTTTTTTTCCCCTTTTCCATGTTATTTTGTTTCAAGCATTTGTGTCTTTTAGGGCTAACTCCCTGCCCGTAACTTTAAGCTAGGGGTTCTTAAAGGTATAGCTCAGGTAGGCTTAAGGGGTTCCTCACAACCTGTACATCTTTGCAGGAGAGAGAACAGATTGAGACAGAGCTGCAAGCGGAACCACAGAGAGAGGTTGCATGCCGAGGAGAGTGCCAAAAAGGAGCAAGACAGGAGAGTGGCAGAGAGGCGTGAACATTTTGGGAAGGAGCGGTTCTATTCTATCATCAGGGTCTCAAACATTCATACCTAGAACAGCTGAAGAGCCAGGCCAGGACCTTTGGAGGCCATGCCAGGCAGGAAGCCAGCATTGCTGGGTGTCCCAAAATAGCTGGGGACAAGCCCAACCTCCCCAGTTGGATCTCCTGACATCCTTCCTCCCTACCTCATTCCCAGATGTCCCGCTGTACTGAATTCCTCCCATGGATGGCGACTTCTGCCCAAGACAGGAGTGAGCGACACCCTGCCTGGTGGGGAAGCCTAGAATAGGGCTGGTCGGTACCCGCCACCCCACATACGCAGACCCGGGCTTGTTCAGAGGCAGACGTCATGTCTCTTTC